GCCTTTATTTCCTCTGTATTAACACAGTTTTTAATCACCATCTCGAATGTTATTACCTTGAGCTCCTTGGCTGTAAAAAAGCCGGTAAGCCGCATCAACATCTAACAGGTAGTCCATCTTGAAAGGACTATCCATTTTGGAAGATGTTTCGTCCTTTGTTTCCTTGTGCTTCCCAACAAAATGTAGTCAAGTTCCTTTAAAAAAAGGATAAGGGGAAAAAAGATTAGACAGGTTAAAAATATATGCATGCAGTATTCAATCCACTCTAATTCTGGAAAGAGAAAACTCTGTCTCCAGAGTCATTCACATAATTGATATACCCACACACAGAAACACATGTTACTTAGGGGGAACCTCACATGCGTACACAGACACATGTAGATATACAAACATACGTTTCCTGAGCTCTGCTGTTTTTGTTCATGTGACAGCAGCTACTTTTTCCACCACCTGTTGCTTTCTACTGTCCTCTCAGAACTGTAGACTTTTGATGATATTATGCTTACAACACTAGAATGCTAAGCCATCTGGCCGTCCCCAAGATAATACTGCAATACAACTGCTAATAAATTACATTTGTATGAAGCCTTCTTTCCTTGTACTGGTAATATTAGTTTTATTTTGTGATAGAAATGAATCAGTCCAGATTTTAAAAATAAAAATAATAAAATAGGGCAACAGAAAAGATGAACACGAGTTCACATTGCCAGCTTGTAAAATACTGGAGAAAACAGTTATCACCGGCAAGCTGTGAATGATTTCTTCTGTAGGTTTTTGGTGATAGCAATCTCTTGATCATCTGTATAGTGCAGGAGGGTTAGTAGCACATTCTGTGTACATACAGCATATATTTGGCATGTTCATTTTCAGTGATCCTTGAACTTTCTAACCTTCCACAGATTGCCCGGTTTCCTTTTCCTTCAGAGCAGGTACACTTACATATTCAGAACCCAGTATTAAGCACTATACATAGACCTGTATTTTATTGGACACCACTTTTTTTAAATTAAAAAGCTAGCTAAACACATTTTTCACATTTCCCCCAGCATTTCTTTAAAAGTGTCTCTATCAAATAGCCAATCTCTTTCTTAACTGCACTACAGTTTTCCACCCTTAACTCCTTTTGGTCAGTTACCACGAGACTCTTTTAATATTTGCAGCCTTACCAGAAAGGGAAAAAAAACTTCTGTAATTCCTTTAGATGGCTTTTCTGCAGCTTCTACGGAACACCAAATAATACTTACTGCAAAAGCAGGTATCGAGAGATTCCTGCTGGTGATGAAAGGTCTTGGTGTTTCCAGTGAGAGTTCTTTTGATGTGGCTAAATGTCCTCCAGTGTAAGCAAATAATTTTGATTGTTTGATTGGAACTCAGATGAATAATGTATAACATCGACTGGACTTCTTTTATCTGATACCAGAACAGCCAGGAGATGTTACTAAGCAACCAAAGGTAACACTTCCCTCTTCTCTACACCCACTCATCCTCTCCTTGAGATGAGCAGACCACCAGCTCTCTCTTGTAATCAAAGTTCCCCAAGGAAGTTTGAGGAGGAAAATATACATATTATATTCTATTGCTTTCCATTATAGTCTATAAATATTTCTCTTCTCCATTCCTGATCTTTATTTTCTCCTAAGGTTATATACATACACATACATACAGTATATTCATATACAAAGGCTGCAATGGTTAATTCTTATTAACACTTATTCTTACTTCAGTGTTTACTCCCATGAGCATGTCCCCTCCCCACATATACTGTTTGCCACATGAGTAATGGGACTAGAAAGTTATCTTACAGTTAAATGCAAAGTGATGAATAATGCAATGAAATGCTTCAGTGACCCTATCTGTTCTTATCAAGAGCTACTGTTGGCTATTTAAGGCTCTCCCCCCCTTCCTTTCTGTTCTGTAATACCATACAGAAAGGAATGCATACCCAGTATTACCATGCCTAGTGAGTACAAAGGTTCAAACTCTCATGCACATTTGAAAACATCAATCTCGATTTGGGAGGTAGAAACACTAAGATCTGCCTCAGTATATTAACAAAGAATTTCTGAAATACAAAGGGTACATCATGGAGCTTTTCTAATATGTGTATCTGGATGAAGACTAGGAATGGCCCACGTAGATTAAAACACACAAACACATACACAACTTCGCTGATAGACAAAAAGTACTTACCAATATTACAGTCCTTCTGGCATCCTACTGCATACCATGAAGTAAAAGCTAAGCAACCTTTGAAATCGCTTCCAAATCCAGACACTTCTAATTCTTACTTTGATCTTAATAGAGAAATTAGGAGAAAAACAGCAATGAACTTGCTGTTTATAATGATGAATTTGGAACTCCTTTGCACAGATGTATGGGAAGCCCCCTTTTTGCAAAACACATTTGCCTGCTAATTTAAGAAGAATGGGAGAGGGGAAGGGAAGCTTTATATTCCTGGTTTATCTGTCCCCGTACTGTTACCCCTTCAGTTTAATTTGTATTAAAATTTATTCCTGTGTCTCCTCCAGTGCTCTGTAAAAAGGTGTGGAGTATTTTCTAATGATGACAAAATGTGCTGGATGGCTTGAAGAAACCCCACCTCTTCTGAGCCAGAAAACGGGTGAATAATTATAATTGGTAGTTATTTTCTAGAATGAAATGCAGAGTGGCTCCCCCCTCCTTCCCTTCCCCATCTCTCTCTCTCTCTCTTGATTTTTCCTCCCTCCATTTGAAAATGCTTGGCAACACAGTTACTCAGGCAAATTGTCAATTATTTGGAGGGATGAGGGGGGATCCAACCCAACTGGATCCTGTTCTGATAATCCTTTATTGTAAGAATCTGCACGTTGAAAGAAATGGCAAACAATCTTTCTCCCACTGCTTTATTGCTTCTTTTGCCGACGGCACTGTTTCCAGTATTTTCTTGCCTGCCAAAGTAAACCCCTTTCCTTAGGTCCACTCCTGAGATTTTCCTCCTTGGCCACTTCTTCCTGCAGCTCTTTGCCTTTTTCATTTGCCTTTCTTTGCAGTGTCTGCCTTTCAGCAGCCACTGGACATGTGGGTTAGGTTATTCTGGGTTACGTAGTGCAAAAGAGCAACTTTCCCCATCTCTGCCCACAACCACCTTTCTCCTCAGGTTTGCTGTCTGCTCTGTCATGTTTGCTTTTCTTCAGCCTGTAGCAGCTTCTTTATCTCCTCTGGGGCTTGACCTACCCCTCCGTTTCTAAAACATCAATCTCCTTGCGTTTGTCTTCTTTTCCTGTCAAATAAACACAGCTTTTCTTGTCTCTGTATTCTAAGTGATGACCCGAGCAACCTGATTTGTCATTTCACTCAAGGATGCGGCACCCTGCTTTTAAAATCCTTTGGCACAGAATTTCTATCTTTGGGTGCAGTCCCACTGGAAATGTGAATTGATTCCTGTTACACCTTTTTTTTAAATATTGGTTCAAGTCATGTGGTATATAAACTGGTAGCTGTGCTAACTTTTAACTGAAAGTAAATCATTGTATTTCTGGTAATTAAAACTGGGTTGGCGATGCTACAGTGAAATCGACTCATTTCTTTTCTGTTTTAGGAGCACGCTGTTGTTAAAGACTTTGATTTTTTTTTTAATTAAGTGATATATTGCTAAAGAGAGTGTCCACAAGGCACCATCTGGTATCATAATAGTTGCTAGAAACTCTGAAGCAAACTCTGGAGGGAATTAATGATGGAAAAATGGAGAGTGGAGGCGAGGCCTCCAGCGGGTTCAGCAAGAAGAGAGAGGATGCTGGAGCTTCAGCCTTTGTACTACTCTCCTGGATGCTTCTTCTCGGGGGGCCTTCAGCCATTGTACCGCTCTCCTGGATGATTTTTCTCTGGGACGGGGGGGGGCAGCAGCAGGAATGGCCTGCAGGTTGCATTTGCACCCCCCTCCACACTAGCGCTGTGCCTGCTCTGTGCCCACTGGTCTTCTGCTGCTCTGCCAGGTCCTTCATTGGCTGAATGGAGAGAATGAGGTAGGTGGTTGTAATACGAAACATATTGATGAAGGGATGCAGTGATAAACATTTTAGGAAAGAATAAAAAAACAATTTAAAGAAAAAATGGCAGTGCCCCTACCACCCAAAATCCACAGAGGTAAAAATTAAAATGACATCAGTGTTCATATTCACAAAACCACACTGAATTGAATCAATTTAGAAGTATTTTAAAAAGCTTCTGCTGGCCGGTTGAAAAAAGTTGCATTGCAGCCCATATAAATTGATTTCACCTGTGTGTCATGTGCCTGGGAATTTATGAATCAATTTAAATACTGCTCAAATCAATTTAACGGCAGTTCTGATTGCCAATGAAACTGCACCCTTTGTCAGCCGTGTAGGGTGGGCCGTTCCTCCCACTTAAGCAATTAGAAGGTTAGTGAGCTTTGTACAAAATGTGACACTAGGCCAAATATAGTGGTGTTTTCTTCTTCTTCTTTTAATCTTTGGCTGGCATGTTACTGTTTTTCTCATAAGATCTATGTAGCTTGCCACCACTAATTATGGCTAATGGAGAGGTGCTGGGTTGCATCTCAGTTGCACAACTGGATGCATGATCAGGCATGTGACTGGCACAGCCCGGCACTTCATTAGTTAGCCAGAACTAACTGCGCAAGTAGCTCAAAACATACACAGACACCAATAAGGTTTTGGATGTTATGCAACAAACCTAAATGTATAATTATAAACTGCCTCAATTTTGAAACAAACTTGCATGGATAATTATAGATTCCCTCAATTTCAAAAATAATTTATTATATGGCACGGGAAGACAGTTGTTAGATCTCAAATCCCCCAAGGATATGCATGAGGGGAATTCTTTTTTGAATCCCAGCCATAGAATTTCACACTTACAACACAATCCAGACAAAGTGTGAGATTCAATGAAGTGAAGCATTTCCAAGCGACGCTGATTTTAATGGAGCATTAAAGCTTCGTTCTCTTCCCCTGAAGCTGATGATCCTTAAGAGTTGTGTCCTTGGAAGATTTCACAGAGGCAAACAACAGATTGAAAATCAGAAGAGGTGTCAATATGTGTTCTTCCTCATACAAAGGTGGTCCTGTCCCATTGGAAAGGTGTTTATGATTAGACATGTATTTGTCAAGGATAGAAATGTACCACGTTTCCAGCTTTACTTTAGTCATCTATTTAAAACCCGCTGATGTCATTTGATCTAAATCCATTATTAGCCAAGAGAGATCATCATGACAGTGATGCGTTTCTAAGGGACAGAATGACATCATCAAACCTCCTCTCATTATGTGCTGAAATAAGACGAATCTATCAGCCCAGCTTGCTTCTTTACATCGATCAAAGGAGGGGTGACATCTTGTGGGCCGCCCCAGCCAGCAAAATAGCCATGGTGGTTGTGAGATTAAATTTGGGATTAGCATCTAAGTATAATAAAGAAGTATGACAAAGAACTTGGAGTGCCCTGTGCATTTCTATGCAGAATAGCCATTCTGTTCTCTGAAGAGGGAAATTTTGTAGTTCCAGAACATTCAGCCTAAATACAGTAAGAGGATGCCGTTCATATTAAGGAACATTTGGCAATCCTAAATGACAAACCCATTCCCCAATTTAGCCCCTCTAATACATTTTGTTTTCTTCTACTTCATGCAGAAAAAGTACTGTTCTTATTAAAATGTGCTTGCACACACAAACACCCCCCAGACTCCAAAATGGCAAATTTAATAATCCACCATTCAAACAGAAAGGGACAATAACTGGGTGCCTGGCATTTCTGAGAGAGTTGGCTTATGGCTTTAAAGCATGCACTTACATGCTGGCAACAGATTTTCCCACCTTTCTCCACTCTGCACTTTTTATTGTGAACGTAACTGTTGCCATAATGACTCAGAGCCTAGAAAGAAAAGGGAAAGGATCTTGCTGCTGACAAACACTAATATTAGCCCAAAAGAAAGTAGGAGAGAGAACTGAATGGGCGGCTGAAGAAACATGTAGGGAAGGTGATTATTACAGGCAGTTGTTTCCTGAGTGAGAGATTCAGAAGGAAAGGGGGGGTAGGGAGTCAAAGTTTTAAGCCACTTAGCTGTCAAGAATACCTATAAGCTGCTGCTATTATGTATTTTGTGCTTAAAAGGCTAAAGGTTGGTGCTTTGTTCAGTATTTGTTCAATACTCTAACATGTGAGATGTTTCAGAGATCACACAATAAAAACATACAGATGTGTCCAGGCAATAGCATAAATAAAGAATTACAGATGACACAAGTCTACTTTCAGAGTGGTGGTATAACAGAGCGCTGAAGGAAAAAGCTGTCAAGCTTTCTTGAGCTAAAACTAGAATCCTTATGGTTGAGACCTAACCTAGTTAACTATTATTGTCTGTGTATTCTAGGCCTCTTCAGTCACAGAAGGCACAAACCAGCCCCTGTAATTGGTAGACAGTATGAA